GATTTTTAGTGTCGCATTCTTCAAAAAAGTGAGAGCACCAAGGGCCCTTTCGATAATTTTCTCCAGAGGTTCGGGATGGTTTTCTTGGACGGAAATCAGTATTGAGTTTTTAAGACTACCAATGGTGCGCTCCACGCACACAGTTGCCCGGTGATCTTTTTCTGGTAGTTTTATGATTTCAATACCCTCCCCATTACAGAATGCTCTAATTTCGTTCGACATTAAACTCGTCCCCTGGTTCACGTGAATCTTCCTTGGCACCCCGTGGTTTATTATATAACTTTTCAAAAATTTCATTGTTTTATCATCAGACCGGTTTTTTCCACAGACCATCGCCGGTGGCCAATGAGAGAACCGATCGACCGCCACTAACATGTTTTTCTGGGATTCATTTAAATAGTTATTAGGGCCCCAAAAATCAAGTTGAACTGATTGGTTGGGCTCCCTCGGTTCAGGTATATTTCCAAGCTGCTTCTCACTTTAATTGGGTTTCAAGTTCTTGCCGGCGGCGGTGCATTCTGGGCAGTCCTCGGCTATTGAGGCTACTGATCGGTAAATTTAGGGATATTAGACGTCTTTTGCGGCATCAAACATATTGGTCTTCACGTAGTGAAAGCGTGGATTCTATTGTTAATTGCAGTTTGGAGGTTCATCGGTATCACGAGTTTTTCGTCCGTCAAACAACATTTTCTTTACGTAGATATCATTAATGAATTGGGAGTAATAGCGGTTCATAGCGGTAAGTTTTGTGGATTTCTGGGTCTCTCGTTTTTATTAAATCTTTAATAGGGCTATTTTGGGGATCAGAAAGGTAATTTGACTCTATAAATTCTAAGTTAAACAAATCGGGAAGTGAGATAATCTTGCTTACAATTTTGTAATTGCGGGTTATAATTGACATGCATACCGGATTCGGATCCACTGGTGGGATTGTCTCGCCTTTGAATGCCGATGGTACCGATAGAGTAGTGTTTCTTCGGACTGATTTTGGTTCTTTTGTGATTGCTTCTAAGTTTAAACTCGGTGGTAATTCTTCTATTTCGTCACTGCTACTGTCTAAGCTTGGTGGTTGTTTTAAATGGCAGGGAGTTTCTGCCATTTTTCATACTTTTTGTTCATTTCGATTTGAGTTTTTGAATTGTGAATTTTTGAATTTGATAATTTGAAACAACTTTCCTTCGATTGAGTAATAGCACCGGCTAAATTACTGTGTCAATTATGTAGCCGTTGGTTTAAACCATGTGTTTGATTCTGATTATTCAATTCTCGCTCGCATGACTTCCCGCCCTCTACCGCCTGATCTCGTGACGAAATAGTTAATCTTTTTATAGATTGCTTACTTTCGCTTTGACATGCGGTCCCTTGGATATATTATTGCCTGTTTTGGATCCCCTGGATGCAATACTTTTACCAAACCCAAGAGCGGTATGTTTTAAAAAATTTTTCGCTACGGTACACATATTATCAAACGTACTAATTGGCGCTGCTTCTTTAGTTGGATGTCGTGATAAATAACCCGCCAGACCAATTTTTGTCCCTGTTTTATGTTCTATTTGAAAATCAAATGGGATAAGTCGGTCCAACCAACCTGTTAAACGGCTAAACAATGTCTTGTTTTCCTTATTACTGCCGTTTAAAAGGGACACTAGCGCTTTGTGATCTGTCACTACTATAAAATTTATTCCCAGTATGTAATTATGGAAATATTCAGCACCCCACACTACTGCCAACAATTCTATTTCGTTTGTCGAATTTTTCTCCTCCGCCTCATTTAGATATCATGAAGAAAATGAAATCGGTCTCCACCCTTCCGGTCCTAATTGCTCGATTACGGCATCTAAACCGTTGTGGCTCGTCGCGTCGCACATGATTCGAATATCCTTGTGGATATCGAAATGTCGCAGTTCAACATTGCTGGACATATGTTTCTTTAGGTTTTCAAATGCGTACTGGCTTTCTGGCGTCCAAATGTATTCATTACTTTTACTTAGTAACGATCGTAACGGTTAGGACGATTGAGCTAAAGCTGGCAAATACTTATGAAGCCGGATTGAAGGTGGATTGAGGCCATAAACGACTTTAACTGCGTTCAAGTCCGCGGTGGCATCAGTAACTCTATTGGTTCTGTTTTACGGACCAATGGAGATATTACTGTAGATGTTATTTTGTGGCCCAGCTATTCGCACTCTCGTTGAGCGAACTTGCATTTCGTTAATTTTAGCGACATATTTTCCCTGTCCAGTTTTTTAAGAAGTTTCTTTACCGTTGCTATATGGTCGACCTCGTTTCCATCGGTTACTAGCAAGATGTCATCGATAAACGCATGCGCCTGCGGGTATTCGGTGAAGAAACAATCCATTGCGCGCTGGAATTCAGCTGGCATCGTAGTTAGACCATAGAACCCGGTCTTGAACCGGTACGTACCTGTCAACCGACCTCTGATAAGAGAAAAATTGCATTGTACGCTTGTTTCCCCGCTTAAAGGTAATTGGCCGTAAGCGTAAGTTAGGTCCATAGTTGTAAAAAAGATATATCCCCAGGTTTCTTCTCGCTGGTTGTTTGCCCCACCGTGTCCATTAATTCTTCAACATTCGGCATTTGTACTTATTCCTATTTAGTTCCCTTGACTCGAGCATCAGGCATCAGGTCTCTTCCAATTATAGATGGGCGGTTACCTCCGATGACTTTTATCCTCGCGTTTATCTTCCTGCCATTGGATTCCAAAGTGACAGCCATTGTTTCGATCATTTTTAACGGATTGTTTCCATAATCCCGAAATCCAATGGTTCTTCTCAGTTCCCCAAAGGTGAAAAATGAGATTGGAGACCCACTGTCGATCCACATCCGAGTAGACTTCCCATTTATTCTAATCAGCAGCTGTGCCCCAGCGACTTTTAACTACGTGAATTGTTTGTTTTTTATTGCCATTACCATGTAGTCCCCATCTGAACTGCTTGAATCCCACGAATGTACTACTGAATTCTTAATTACCCATACAATTCAACTTGCGTGATGGGTCGCTTCCTCATCCTCCGAATTCTCCAGATGCGTATGGTCGGCAGTTTCACGAATCATTCCTACTGCTCCCCGTCCTCGCTGATGTCCAGGCTTCCCCCTACAGGTACGTCCGAAATGTCCACTTTTCAGCAAAAATTACACGTGGTTCATTTCGCTGGGCATCTATCCAAATGTTCTCGTGTAAAATCGATTGTAGCATCGATTGTTTTGGTCGCATACTTATTGCCCCGCTCGTACGAGAGGGCGATCCATAGACCTCCTCTGGTGTTTTGGTTGATCTGCACAATTCCTTTTGTGCTTCGCGGTTATTCATATTTACGATGAATACCTCCCTGAGGATACGATCTTCCAATGTTCCTAAACTGCATCGGGCCGCCAGTCCGCTTAGGACAGAGTGGAACTGCTCTAGACTTTCATTGATGAGCTGTTTTCGAGAGAGAAGCAGGAATGTCTCGTAAGTATTGTTTCTTTCCTTTTTAAGTTCGATTTCCAGTGCGTCCAACTTTCTTGGATAGCGAATCGTTGATAGGTCTAGGTGTGGTCTTCTTTTGTGTAGCTCGTCCTGCCCTTTTTCACCCAGGCACAGGTACAATTTGGAAATGAGTGTTTGCTCTGATTCTAGTCGTTCTTCCGTCGTCTTCCCCTGGTAGATCGTTGACCTGAGCTTCCGTTAGAGTTGCTGCGAAGTAGTAGTCTTTCGGGCTAATCGAATGCTTTGCCACTACCCCCCATTGAAATCTGGTCATCCAGAACTCCCATAGCATTGATCGTTCAACGCATTTTGCTGGCCAGAATCCGGTGATACCAAGTGGATTCTTCCCCCCACTTGTGACTGCTGACTGCGCCATGTTGAAAAGATTGATTGTTCAATATGTAAATTCCAAATGATAAGCAACTTGGTTGCTCAAATTTAACAATAAGAGTAACACTAGAGGTCAACCAAGGGTGACAGACTATGCCAAGGACAGCACCTGCTAACAGACTCAATAGCACCACGATTGACAGTTGATTGATGGCTGTAAGTTACACTCTCCTAAACTAAATGAACACTATATGACACCTCATTAAACATTTTTAAAAACCTCCGCATTGTTGAGAAAACCGGTTTAAACTTTTTTGTCCATCTTCGACCAAATAAAGCGGGCGAGCGAACCAGCTTGTGATATGCAAAAAAAACGTAACAACTTTGTTTTACTCCAGCAACATTAGTTTTTGGAGCGTCTTCTAGCGCCTTCTTGGACGCAAAGGAATCATTAAAAAACCCATAAAATTCTGCGAAGAGATTAAAAAATTACAATTTTTTTTTGATTTTTTGTTTTTCGATTGAATTTTTGATGGAAACCATTGTCAGATATGCGTTTCTTTCTCTTCTCTTAAGTCCGGAGAAGAAACTTTCTGTGATGCTTTCACAGCACCGGCTAACCTTGTTACTTCTTAAAAATTGTTGAGTTTCGAAACTGCTTAATTTTAAACTTTTCTTGAAATTCAATAATAAAGTTTCTTACCTTTCTTACAGCCAATGTGAAGCGCCAGACTTTATAATTTGTTTTAGAATTGACTGGTCGGTTTTTTGTATAGTTTCAACACACGTGACCAAAAACAATGTTAAAAACTGCTCCATGAAAATCGTGAAAACAGACGTGTGAAAACGATAAATCGCAAATCAGTTTAAGCAATCAAAAAATTATTCTGCATAAAAAATAGAACAGTTGTAGAAAGGTTTCAACATTTTTTAATTTTTATTTGGTTTTTATTGTTCGAATACAGCGTTTATCATATATGATTAATTCACAAACTTTCTACGCGTTCGTATAGTTGTCTCTGTCATCATACTGCGCACAAAAAATACGACACTAAAAATGAATAATAAAAGAAAAAGAATTAATTTTCAAGTTTTTTATGAATGACTACGGGTACACAGCATTTTGTTCGGCTTTTTTTGCTGATTCATCTGTAAGACTTCTCTGTTTTCAGTACGTGCCAGCATCCCCGTACCACCTCTATTAAAACCTGCCACTTCGATATCAGCCAACTCCTTCGTCTGCAAGTTGATAGAAAATTTCTCCCCAACATTTCGGCGATCGAGACGGTCAGGCCATATCACTCCATTCAACGTGAAAGGACTCTTGACTCCTAACGACGGCTACTATGCTTTAGATAGATCAGACGAAAGTTCCGACAACATCACTATTAAAATGGATGGTTTGAAGTCCGGAACATTCTATACTTTTGAGTTGTTACAAATTTTGAGTTTCTTTGACAAGGGTCCGGGAGATTTGATTGACATCTATCCAAGCTCAACTGATCAGAGCTGCTCTGCAATGACAGGTAACAAGTAGGGTCTCTTCTTAACAATCTCCCCCTTCCCTTATGGTATCTACGAAAGAATCTCCATCTCTATAAAAATAAAGTAAATTAGCTCTGAAGCTTGTATTGAGAATTCGAAATTTGCAGCACTCTGATTGGTCGAAAAATCTTCCCCCTTTAATGAAAGGGGGGATTGTTACTAGGTCCCTAATAGGAACTGTTGAAGTTCACACTTTGTGTTTTTTTTTCATGTCAAGCTAACTAATATGTTTGTGGTCTTTTTTGCTTCTTGTGCTAATATGTTTGCTCACCATTACTACACGTCGAGAAAACAGAAGAAAGAAAAGAGAACGAAGTAAAGTAGATTAATACCCCTCCCCTCCAAGTTAGAAAGATTTTACGAAAATAACTTTTTACCCAGCAGTGTTGACATATCACTGAAAGTTCTCATACATTTTTGAAAAATATGATAGAAATGAAAGCTGCTGTTTGGAGGTACAGGCAAAAGTCTCGTAGCGGACCTCAATTGTCAACACCTATGCATCAATTTTCATCTTCTTCAGCTTCTATTTGTTTGAACTTCGATTTTTCTATATGTAACCTAGTGACAAACTGTGAATTTTTTACGGTGAAGTCGCGTCCAAAAATTGCAGTTTTCCTATCAAAATATTCAAAAAGGCATTTTCTCAAGATATCGACAGTTCAGCTCACTGCACAAAAAATTGCTCCGAAGTTGAGTATATTCAAAGCCAGCATAGCTCAAAAGATATCGAAAGTATATCGAAAAAAATCTAGAAAGGATTGAAAATAATCAAAAGTCTCAAAAATTGGCACCCCCACTTCACCACTCCATAGGTTTAGATCCCGTTTTGAACAGCATGATTTTTTTTCCAGATTTCCCTGAATTGGCAGGGGGTGAATTGGAGGCAGTTTCTAAAAATGGGAAAGATGAGGAGTTCTGTGTGATGTTTTTCTACCCCAAAAATGATATCAGCTACAACAGGTACAAACTGGAGGTGGAGCAGGGATCGATCAATCAAGTGACGGCGGGTGGGGACGAATTCAAAGCTATTGACGAAAAAGTGGGTTCTTGTGATGCTCAAGTCTTAATTTTCGATCTTTTTTTCAACTCAATTTTATGCTAATCTAGATTTTAAATTTTTCGTACAGTTATACATATGTACGTTTCATATAACAAAAAATTCATTAATGACCTGACCTATAGATAAAGCATTATGAAAATTACTTAGCAAGAAAATTTGAATTTCGGCAGAAATTTTGATGTGTTATTCCACAGTGTAATAAGGAAATGCCTTTGAATGCGTTAGCATTTTTTCAACTGGCTTAGGTTGCTTTTTTTCTAAACAAAATTATCATGATCTTGGAACTTTATGGCGATCAGTTAAAGAGAAGAATAGTTCAAGAGAAGATCTAGCTCAATATCCAAACAAACAGAATCTGACGGATTATTGTGGTGTTAATTATTAATTTTCAGCGGAGAGGATTATTCTCATGATGGAGGGACCTGATGATGGAAAAGTTTCAACCAACCAGTATCAGTAGACGTTCGTTTTTGCTGACAGATTTTTTGCACTGAACCAAAATCAAAGTTAGCAGAAAATAAATTATAGCATGCAGAGTCTTTGCAGATAGAACGAATTGGGTGTTTTGTTTTTCAAACGTTCTTAAATTGTATCTATGAATATAAGTAACTTTTTCCCAGATGTCTTTGATCTAGCAGTGTTTGAATATTCATATATCTTCAATCGGCTAAAATCACAATAAGTTTTAGAAGTAAGCTTTAGCGGGCTAGATTTATTCGCTGATTTTGAGGTTTTTGCAATTTCGTTTTAAATTCTGATTGGCTGTGGTTAACTGAAAATCAATTTCCAGCATTCCATCTCTCCACCATGCGGGACGCCATTTGTAGCATTCGGTCTCTCACTAGGAGAAAATTGTTAAGAATTTTTGCCCAATTAGAAGAATCATCTTTTAGAAGAATCATCTATTAGAAGAACAAGACTTCTCTTATATCAGACGGAAAGCTTACTTCTTCAGGCTGCTATGTACAAGGTCTCAATTTTTCTACACCAGGGTTGAGCTCACAATGAAAACTAACGATGAAAAAGTATTAAAAAAGCAATCGTCATCGATGAATTATCGATATGTTTATTGCCACAATAGCAAACTTCATCGATAGATTATAGCAAATTTGGCTGATTTTCAGCGTTGAAACAGCAATAAAAAACCTATCAAAATAAGCAAAATTAGTGAACTACCGGAGTTGGCTCCCGCATCTAACAGATTTGTAGACACGTATGCTACCTGTTTGTCATCAAGCCACAGATACACTCAATATAAAGGGCTTATCAACTAAGACTCTCATTTGAATGCTACTAGAACGAATTAAAACTTCATAAATTGTAGCGTTGATTTTCTACGGAATCATCCCGGGTTGACCTCCATACACCAAAAATGCTTATTATACAATTCCATACATCAAGTGTGTGGAAAAATGCTTGTCATACATTTTTCATACAATTTTTAAAAATGGTTGAAAAAAGATATAAACTTATTTCTGTGGCTGTTTGATTCTAATAAAACAGTCTGGTAAAAAAACCGAGGTTTTCGTTTTTTGAAAAAAATGCTTATCATACAATTCCCATATATGGAAATTGTATGACTGGCATTTTTTTGATGGCGACACAAAAATTTTTCAAGTAGTTTTGAAAATTTGTCCCAAAAACTTTTTGTTTTTTTTTTCAACAGCAAATCGAATTTCGTACGCAAACAAACATTTTTCGAAAAAAAATTTTTTTGCATGCAAAGTTTAATTTTCTGTGTGCATAACGTAGTCCTGGTTACAATGATATTGGCTTTTATTTTCTTTTGACTTAATTTTTTTTCTTCAAAAACGCTGAAACTTCCTATTTCCTTTATTTATTGATATATGCCTATTTGTTTATATATGTCTTGATCAATGTCTGATATTTTGAAAATTCAAAAAATTAAAATAATCACCATTAAATAATTTTGCCAAAAACTAAAATTTTGTTGCTTTTGTTATATCAATTGTGAAAGACAGTCGTACTCAGGTCGTTTTCTATGCATTGTAAATGCAAAGATCGTCCAACCTTTGGTGCTTTGAGTAACCAAGGTCTTTGTCTCTTGTGTTCATCTGCAAACACAACCGAAAACTTTTCAGAAATAAAATTAGAAAGAAAAAATCAAACTTTTTGATTTATTGAAAAACACCTATCATACAGTTTTCATTTATGGAAAAATGTTTATCATAGAGATTTCATAAAATTTTCTGTACGTATGACATTGTATGGAATTGTATGACAAGAAGTTTTTCATATATGGGAATTGTATGATAAGAAGTTTCGGTCATCCCGGGATTACTGAAATAGCTCTGAAATATCACAGGTTAGCTATGCAAAAATCTTTAAATTCTGCATGAATCAGGAATGGAACATTTAAATTATACATGGAAAATAGCGATCACAGTGAACAGTGATAGTACAGAAAAAGCGATTTTTAATGGTGGAACTTCAACCCGGGCAGGGCAGTTTGACTACATTACGAGGCCAAACTGTGCATTTTGTGCATTGTAAGCGAATTCCGCGACAAGGACGCTTCTTTTGTTCTTCTTTTGTTCTTTACTTTGATCGTTCCGACAAAAATTTAACATGTTTAAAGACTTGTCTCTGGAATCCAGGAACATACAGACACAAAATTGTGCGTCTATCCAGTGCACAGTTTGGCCTCGTAATGTAGTAATTCACTGTTTTTTGGTTCTTCAACCGTCCTAATATTGCGCTGCGTTGAAACTCCAGCCCTAAATCAATTAATGTGACCCACTAGCTGGCCTTAATTCAAGCTGAAACAATTTTGAATGCAGATTATTTCGCCACGCATAAATAAACAGTGCTACGCTTTCCGCATAGCATAATAAATCTTCGAATGTTTAATAGCGGTGCGAAACAATGACAACTAATTGTAGTGATAGATAGATAATTGGTTCGTTTTGCTCTTTGAACCATTTTAACTCTCTGGTCATTCCGCTCGGAGCACCCCACCAATCTACATTTATAATAACATGTTTTTCGTTGGCTGTTTTACCGCCCCTCTTGCACCTGTTTTTTAACAATCAAAAATTTACATTGTCATGAATTTAGTCATGTTGGATAACTGCCCAATTGCAAATAAATTTGGACTACCTCTGCGAACTTGGAAAGCCAATTTGCCCTCAAAACATTAGTTTTTGTCGGTCAAGATGAAAATGAAAATATCCGTACCGTGTCTAAGGAAATTTTGTTCTAACTAAAACTACTTAATTAATTAATCTAAAATTTCAGCAAGAATTTTTTTCAAATTGCTTAAATAAAGCAAACATTTTCTAAAAAAAATTTCTCATTTCTAATTTAGTTTCTGTCCAAAACTTACAAAATCTTTATATTCTAATCATAAAATAAAACATTTCTAAAAAAATCTCACTCAATTTTTGTTATTTTTTCTTTAGAAATGCTTTTTTATGACTAGAATTCCCAATGAGGTTTTTCTGTGTTCGGAGTTGAAAGCTGTTGTTTCTGAGATTATCTTTTTGGAGCACCTTTTTTATGCCAAGGAGGACAAAGGGCTGCATTGCTTCAATCTGTCAGGCGAAGGAAGTCTGGACGAGGAGGCAAATGTCACTGTCAAATTAACTGTCAAAAGTGTGAGTGGGGTGGTGGAAAAACAAGGACATACATTGGAAAAGGCCATGAATCTGGATGGTAAAATTGTTTTTTTTTAAATTAGAAAATGAACTTGGACGAAACAAACTGGTTAAATAGTTTTTAAATCAGCTGTGATGAGTTTGACAATAAATTGAAGTTTGAAATTTGAATTACTACTTTCGGAGGTCTTTATCAAGTTACCAAAAAATGGTTTTCATTTTCATTTACTGATTAATAACTGGTTTAAATATTGACTCTTTTGATAATGTCCAATGTTAAAGATTTTTTCTCCGATTTTGTTTTTCAAAGCACCAAAGCCACACATCATGGCCTTTATTTTTTTGAGAACTTAGATATTTAATCTTGGCTAACTTTGAATTCTGTTGGAGAGGTCACACTAGTTCATTCTATGGGCATCATGGGCTGCGTGGAGTACGATGACTCATCCGGGTGTCACCTGCTGATTGAAGTGGAGCCATTCAAATTTGTGGAATATCTCAGCTTCCAATATACGGTGAGATAATTGGCTAATTGCTATTAAAACCCTACAGCAAGCATCATATGATAGCCTTCACAGGGGTGGGTCTAGAGAGGGGGGGGGGTAGTTCGGAGGATTTTTAGAAAAATGGAAGCTTTCAACTTTTGGTCGGTTTTTTTAGTGATCACTAAAGGCTGCAAGAACCGTAATAAGCGTTTCTAGAGGGTCTGTGTGAATAAATATCTTTGAAAAGTCACAGGCTGGCTATTTTAGCTTTCTGTCGGCGATTCCAATACAGTCGTCCACCTATCCGTGTCTGGCAGCAACTGTGTATGGACTGGATCCCTTTTCCAATGCACCCAGTTCATACCAGGGTTGATTTCTGGCGAGGAGTACAACATAGTCATGCAAGTGTGCATGAACAACAAATGCATCAATCGAGATTACCAATTGAAGTTCAAGGCCAAGATGGGCGGTAGTTCAAACTGCCATCTGGAAGCGATCAGTTCTCAAGCAACCACTTCTGGTATTTATAGTTTAATTGAAAACTACATAGAAAAACAGACAACTTTTGGCTGCTAAATTTTTGAGCATTTTGATTAGGGGTGAGGATAAAGTGTTTTTTATACTTTTTTGAAGTCCTATGTACATGAAAAAGCGAAAAGCTTGTTGTTCCGACTTTCGACGAAAGTAACGGAATATTTGTGCTCGGGGTGGGTTTTTTTTTTTTCTTCAGACAAATTTCGACTTTTTAACTAGACATTTTTGATGAAATTTTTTATATCATTCAAAAGGTATTGTTGTCCTAAGCTTAAATTTGATAGTATATTTCACCCGTGATCATTTTTCGTAAAAGTATGAGGATTTAAAGACTGCCATTTTGGCCATTTTGACCAATTTGGGACAATTAACGCGCGATATAATTCGCGCTATTAACGCGTAAGCGGAGATTTAATCCGTCTTATAAATCGTTCCAAATTGGTTGAACGAAGCTTATTTGCCATAATTGGTTGAATACAAGGAACGAAATCTATCTTTTTGTACTTTATATGGCGCGTGGGGGGATGATTTTCACAAAAAAATTCAAATTTTAGAAAGAAAATTTTCATTTTATTTTTTCTTACATTTAATTTTTTAATGTTATTACTGCTCCATAAAACCTTAAAAGGCAGTCGGAACATTCAGGGCTTCGCCCTGATACGAGTAGTCTTGTTTTTTTAAAATATTTTTTAGATAATGATGGAAACTAGGTCTGCATTATTGTTTAGGCTCATAGACATGTCACAATTTCCAGTTTTTCGACAGCTCTTGTTGCTGCATATTTTGAAATTAGTAAATAGTTTCTTCTCAGTTACTTGCCCGTTGTAGTTTTTTGCAAGTTATTGTAAACAATAACATGTTTGATTTCGTTTCAGTCAGATCTCTGGTTCTCTTGGTGACTGCTGCAAGCAAATACTTCCTGATCTAAAACTGTGCGAAAGAGCAGATGACTTCATTAGTTGGAAATTTCAAGAAAACATTACGCAGAAAAATGTAAAAAAGTTCTATAATTTTTTATTCCTGTGATTTTTTTCACAAGAAATCTGGCGTCAGAAATAAAATTCAATTGCGGTTGAGCCGACATATTTTGTTAAAACCCCTTCAGTCGTAATTAAAGCTGTGTCGACAAAAAATAATTTGAAAATTTTTTTTTTCAAATCGAACAGAAAACAAATAGTAAAATTATGCCATTCTTCATTTCGATGAAGAACCGTTTAATTTCTGGACACTCCTTTAATATTGTTTTACACGTTAAGCAGGCTATTAATTGTTATAGATTTTGACATCTTGAGGTCGAAATTGAAAAAATGATTTGGTTGAAATAAACATTTTTTGAGGGATAATAAAGGCGGTGAAAACATCCGACTCAATTATCATTCCGAAACAAATGGATTCATTGTATTCCCGTACCGAAGTTTCTCGGATAAAAATAGGTTATATTGAGAAAATCTTGCCGAAAATGTTGCCATTATAATCGATTATGTGTAACCAATTTAGGCAACATTTTCTATCATAATAGAAAGAAGATAGATTATTTTCATGAAGATTATATTGCATTATAATTCCACTAAAATCTATTTTTATCTCCTCATAAGCTCAACAAAATCTTTTTTTTCGCTCTGAAATCGTCATGAAATCGCAATAAAATCGATTGCTTTTGCCATAAAATTGCAATAAAATCTGTTGTTTTCGCCATAAAATTGCAATAAAATCTAGTATTTTTGATGAAAATTTTATGCCATGTTTATTTATATTAAAATATATTATAGTCTATTAGAATTCAAATATAATCGACATAGAAATATAGTTTTTTACGGATTTATTTCCTCATATAATCGATTGTTTTACTCTGCGACCACAAAATCAACAGATAATTGATTATTAAAAGAACATGACTGCTCGTATCAGAGCGAAGCCCTGAATGTTCCGACTGCCTTTCAAGTGTTATGGAGCAGTAATAACTTTAAATAAATAAATGGAATAAAAAAAATGAAAAAAAAATTCTAAAATTTGAAATTTTTGTGAAAATCATCCCCCCTGTGGTACGACACTTACTGCAAGTGCAATAGCATTTGCTTACTCTCATCACTGACCTTGGGACACATGCTGTTAAGTATAACCTTGTTAATATCATTATGTTCTATTGTTATTATGTTACCAAGGTCATCGGATGTTGACATCCGACGGACTGTGCTTTGAAGCATCTTACGCTCACGTACAATAGGATACGGTCACTGAGCTGATTCATGGAATCTTATAAAGAAAAGCGTTTCAAAGATTAAATTAATTCTTTGATATCAAATATGTTTTGAGATCATAGTTACACAAAAACATTACTTATCACATGGCGCAGTCAGCAGGATTCATGGCACAGGATAATCGAACGGACATGGGGATTCCAGTATTCTGGACTTCGGCTAGTTCGGATCCACCGTGGAATTTCAAAATTTGGTTGGATCAATTTATGTTAGCTGTGACGGTGAAGGAAAATGTGAATCCGGAAATAATATTAGAAGATCCAAAGGAAGTGATAGAGGAACCTATGCCTCGTCCAGAAACACCGCCAGAAACAGAAAACGCCGAAGAAAGAACGGATCGCGAGAACAGAGATTAGCTTAGGAGAGACAAAGTGATATTAAAAAATTAGGAAAGAAAAGAACGTGGACCTAAAGTAGGACATAACGAGTACTATAATGAGGTTCAGAAAAGACTTACGTCTCGCCTATTTTTGGCACTAGGTACGGAGGGGAAAAAGAAATTCGTGCAAAAGAACCCTCACGCGGAAGTGTCAAAACTCGAATTCCGAGAAACGGTGGCATTGGCAAAGGCATCATTCGAAAAAACAAGAAACATAACTTACGAACGGTACAGGTTATTTACACGAGCACAAGAATCCAATGAGTCGTTGGAATCCTTCCACGCAGCACTTACTGCACAAGCAGCTACGGCTGAACTGGGCGTTTTAGAAGAAGAACTAGTTAGAGACCTCTTTATCTCCAGAATGAAAAATACTGCGTTACAGGATACATTGACCTTTGAAACATTTAGCCCAGACGAAGTACTGAAACGGACCATAAAACTTGAGCAGAGCAAGCAGACTACTCAAGCGTTTCAAAGAATTGGAAGCGGAACTTCCGGAGTAGGACAATTACGAGAACCTCACATTAAGATAAAACAAGAACCGATACTGGCCGTTGGAAACAAAAATCTAAATTACAAAAGACCAAACAAAATACAGACACAAAAGAGATGGGCAGATAATAAGAATACAACTTCTAAATCTGATCAAAGGACTTGCACCCGTTGTGGCAAAAATTTCGGTCCCGGACATTTGAAGAATTGTCCAGCAATGGGCAAGAAATACAAGAATTGTACAAAGCCGAAACACTTTGCAAAAATGTGAGATCTCAACAGATAAACGAAATTACGGAGGAGAAATCGAGTTCCGAGAAGGAGTGTAACTTAATCCAATTATTTGATTCATGCGACGAATTCGAAATCATGATGGTGGACGCAGAACGGAAAAAAGGTGGAAAAGAAAGGACAGGAAACTCGGATCTTTGGACAGTCAACTCGGGTCGAAATCGGAGTGGCAAAGTAAACAACCAAGAAATAACAAAAATAGACATTCGGCGGCATCCAAGGTCACATCAAATCAAAGCACTGAAGGCCTTGGTTAGAACCAGAAACTAAATTATCAATATGACAATTGATACGGGAAGCCCAGTGTCCTTTTTGAATTGGACAACAGCAAAGCAACTGCTAGAGGGATCATCTGAAACTAAGTTTATTCCGGCAGAAAAACTGAATCTGACAATGCAATTTGTGGATTACAAAAAACATCCCATACAAATACTGGGAGCAGTATGTGCAGATATTCGTTCAGCGGGTTGGGAAGTCAAAGATGCATACTTCCTGGTTACAGAAAGAAGAGCTAGGTGTATACTGGGTTTGGATCTACAAGGGAAATTGGGGATCCATACATCTCAAAAATCAGCTGCGGTATATAGATCCAGGTTTGACGTGCTACTGTGCGAGCAGTCAGAAGGTATAAAACATCAATTTTATGAATAGTTTACATCCCTTTTTGACAGACAGGGGGATTCTAAACATCACGTAGTCAACACGAAATTCAAATATCCATTATTTCCTATACAGGAGAAGGGTAGAAGAATACCTATTCACATATAAGGAAAAGTACAGGCAGAATTGGACAAATTATTAGCGGAAGGTCATATAACAAAATTAGACAAATGCACTAGTGATTGTTTCATTGCCCCGATTGTAATAACAGTGAAGAAGGACGACTCCAGCAAATTGGCATTGGACGCGAAACTGATAAATAGACAATTGTATAGAAATAGATATCAAATGCCTAATGTGGATGAATTGATTGATGGGGTTAGTCCAATAGTAACGGCTAACACACTGGGTACATTATACTTCACGGTACTGGATTTGAAGTATGCTTACAGTCAACTTCGATTGACTGCAGAAACAGCTAAACAGTGCAACTTTAACATAGTTGGAGGACAAGCTACGGGTACGTACAGATTTTTGACCGGATTCTATGGATTAGCAGATATGCCGGCAGAATTCCAAAAAGCGATGGATCGTACCTTAAACATTGCTAAAAACACATTTTGTTTCCTAGATGACATAATGATCGTCTCAAAAAGAGCTAAATCAGAACACGAGAAATTGGTTATAGATGTACTGAAAAAGCTAGACGACGAAAACCTAGCACTAAAACTCTGCAAATGTGAGTTTTTTCGAAACGAACTAAATTGGTTAGATCATAAACTTACAGCGGGGGGAATAACACCAAAAGTGACAAAAACGGAAGCGATACTTAATCTTCAACATCCGAAGGCACTAAAACAATTAAGATCGTTTTTGGGTAGTATTAATCATTTATCAAAGTTCATCCCTAAGGCAGCCAGTTTGACGGATCAACTTAAACCATTGCTGAAAGAAGAGAATGAAAAGAAAAAATTGAAAGACATAAAGGTACCAGTGAAAAAATCGAATGGGGGAAAACACTCCCTCATATTCGAAGAAATAAAAACGGCGGTGGCAAAGATCGCGCAAATAAATTATTATGACCTCCAAAAAGAAACCAGAGTAAAATGCGATGCGAGCCACAGTGGCCTTGGGGCCACATTGGAACAATCGACGAAGGGGGAGGATTGGATTCCAATTGCATTTGCATCAAGATACTTGAATGTCCCAGAAAAGAAATATTCAACTAACGAACTAGAACTGCTAGCAGTAGTTTGTGCAGAAGAGAGATTTAAACATTACTTGTTGGGGAAAGACTTTATTTTAGCAACCGACCATAAAGCTTTTACATCAGCATTGGGGGAACAAAAATCAAACAAAACTTATCAATCCAGACTTACAAGATGGGTAGATAGACTGTTACCTTATCAATTCAAGGTTTTACATATACCAGGGAAAGATATGGCATAGTGTATTATTTCTCCATGGAACCGAATGGGGAACCGTGGCCAGAATCAGAATTAGATGAAAAATTTGTGGTAGCGTCGAATAATCAATTTCACACATCACTCGACTGTTTGAACAGTCGGCTATTGGAAGCAACTTCTTTCATTGGCGAGGAGAATATTCTAGAATGTTGTGAGAGAACAAACTCGCTGGATGAATGGTGGAACACGTCATCCCCTGGTTGCTATAGCAACCGTTCTGCTCAAAACCAAACAAAGCTCGACCGGAACGAAAACGTTCAAAATTCACGTTTTTGCAATATTGCTCAAAACAGTTGGAACAAAATCTCTCACTGCGCACAGTTGATAAATTCAGAAAAGATAAAACAAAAAATTGAAACGGAGAGGGTCGGAAATCGAATAAAAACGAACAGAGAAGAAAGTAAAGAAAACACCAGGTACGGAAAATACGGCGAGAAATCAAAATCAACTGCTGGAAAGAGTCACGGAAACGACTTTTCAACGAACACGA